TCTTATTACAGAATATCCCTCAAGGAATACTTAGATATTTCTTGTTTAAAGAAAGGTGTTCATTATCTTTTTATTTTATTCAAACTGATATAAAGGGATGGATTTCTTTTCTCATTAACACTAGTAGGCATTTGTGCCATCATCAATGACCCCAAAAGACATAGTCGTTCAAGTCTGCTGACAGTCTAGTTATACTAAAACTCACCTAGACTGTGAATATCAGTGTAGGCTTTTTTCTGATAGTAGGAAACAATTTTTTTTTAATTTTATTATGCTTTCATCTTCCTGACGCTAATAGTAAATGCTGGAATATTCTATGTAAGTGACTGTTGGGCTGGAACAAGAAAGAAACTCTCTGGGAAAGTATTTATACCTTCAGCAATGAAAACAAGATATTATTGTCTTACATGACCTTTCATAAATATGGGGTACAGCATTTTACACAATTGTTTCTCAGTTCATGCTTCAATTACTGACCTTTACTGTGTAGAAAATTAATGCAATTTTCATTGTAGTGCATCCGTACAAATAAGGTCCACATGAATATTCCCACATAGGAAATATAATAAAAATAGAAAATGCTAACTGATTGTTGTTGGCTGAACTCAGCCATTATCTGCTTGTTCTGGGGTCCCTGGAAAAGCAGACTTGCAACAAGCAATTTCTTACATGGATCATCTGGTATAAAAAAAAAAAAAAAAAAGGATTTGTCTTTCTTCAAAGTTTAGTCTGTATGCTTCGTTTCTTAAAAGCCAAAAATCTAGTTACCCACAAGATGTATTTGCTATCACAAAAGAAAAGGCAGCGGAATTGTGACATCCAATCTAGTTTCTAACATGGATGAGTGCAGTGTGCTGTTAAGAACGAGGAGGAGCCAGAGGCAACAGTGATGTCATTTCATGACCACCTCTATTCCAGACAATAAAAGTATGACAGAACCCAGACCATGCATGGCCTGGTCTATGAGTCAGAGGAAGCAGAAGATGGGTGTACATTCATCCCCCAGACAGCCTTTCATCCTCTGTCGTCTGGGAAAGTTAACTGGAGATGAAGGCATGTCACTCTCAGGATAGATGGGAGGAGTAGAGAGTAGCTTTCCTCCCTTTTGCTTTTGTAGGGAATGGCTGTGTATTTATAATTTGTAGATGGGATCGGGTGTTTTACAGATCCCAGAAGCATGTTCTGTCATGTCTAACACACAGCAGAAGCCATGGGACTATGAAGATGATCATGCAACAATCCCCTGTGGTGGGGAATAATCCTGCCACTGCCTGGCCAGGTCTCAGCCAAGCACATTATGGCACTGGGCTCCGGTCCATTGAGAGGAAATGATGCATTTGGATACTCAAGAGGTCTTAGTGTTGACCTTGAAGTTTAAGCAAATCTAGTTTAGCAAATACCCAAGAGTAGTGTTCTGGCTGGTTTTTTGACAACTTGACACACGAAATAGTCATTTAGGAAAAGGGAAAATGCTGAGAAAATGCTCCTGACAGACTGGACTGTAGACAAGTCCATAGGATATTTTCTTGATTAATAACGGATGCGGAGGGCCCACTACACCAAGTGTGGTTCCACCCCTGGGATAGTAGTCCCAGGTACTATGAGAAAGCAGGCTGAATAACCCACAAGAAGCAAGACAGTAAGCAGCACCCCTCTATGGCCTCTTCATCAGCTCCTGCCTCCATGTTCCTGCCCTACTTGGGTTCATGCCCTGATTTTTCTAAATGATGGGCCACATCGTGAAAGAGCAAGCTGAAAGAAATCAAACCCTCTCCTCCCCAAGTTGCTTTTCATCATGGAGTTTTATGGTAGCCATAGAAACCCTAAGACATGAAGCAAGAATGACATGATACAGAAAGAGACTAAAACTATGCCAGGCTCCCTAGCAACAGAAAGGTGTGTTTATCAGAAATACCATAGATAGCTGAGGTTTTTTTTTTTTCAGTTTACATTTTTTTTTCTTTAGGAAATTATATAAAAATATAAAACTAAGGAAATAAAATAACATGGCTATGGCCAAACTATGAAAAGAACTTATTGGAATGCCTTAATAGAAATGTCTCAGAACTGAATATACCCTCAAGTGAGTGTTGGCCCCTTTGTCAACTCTCTCCACACGGGACAGGTTGATAGCACTATTAGGTGTATTCCACACTAGGTCCTGGCCCATTTCTGTGGAAGCCTCTTTAAAAGTGTTCTGCAACCTTCCTTGCCCAGAAAGAGTTGAAACACAGCACATACAGCTTCATCTCCAGAACCGCAGGAAGCTCTTGAACAGATCTGAGTCTGGATTAGACCCTGGATTGGACTGTGTTGCCTCATAGCATGTTGGAGAGTGCATGAGAGCCATTCTCTTCATCACTGTAGCTGTGGCTATTTGCAAGAGAACCTTAAGATCAGGCCTGTTAGCTGCTGACCTTCCCTCACAGACGGAGGTGCTGAAAAGGGTGACAGGACCCTCACCTGAGGTTCGAGCCGCTCCCCCCAAGCCTCCTAACCAGATGTGTGTGATTCTGTTCTAGTTTCACACACAGCCTCCTGATCTCTGGCGATACCAGAGATACTGTGGAAAATTTGCCTTGGGCATGGGGATGGGGATGTACAGCTTTGAGGAAGTTGTCATTTATCTTGGGTATAAGTTTTCAGTGGTGCATCTGATTTAGGAGTAACTCATGCTTCTATAAATAACCCCTTACCCATGTTCTATAACAAGCCCCATCAACCCACCGGGGTCACAGGTTTGACTATGGTGAAATGTGTTTTTTGTCCCTCCCACACACACTTGGTGCTCTACCACAGGTGAGATGCCATTTTTTATATCTGCCCAGTGAAAGACTTCCCAAAATACTTCTTTATCTAGTTACTTATGATTATGTGACACAGTAGCTCATTTTTTTATATCACCCTGTTCTCACACTCACAACAATCCTCCTGCTTCAGCCTTACAGGCATTGGGATTACACTCTGAGCTACCATGAAAGGGTCTGTTCCTTCCCGCTGGAGGCTTTTCCTTATTTGATATGTTAAAAGACACTCTGCCACAAGTGTTCCTAGGGGGTAAATACTGTACTCTTTCAAGGGTGGCACATTTAATCAGATTTGGATGAAACAAAAATCTGCCTCACTTTTAAGCTCTGGTTTTTAAAAACTTTAAATTCTGCCTCGTGTGATATTGTGATATAATAAGAAATACATATTTTCTCTTGGGTCCTGGCCGTTGGCCAAAACTCTTAAAGCTCTTGAGCTTTGCTCAGTGATAAGAGCAGCAGGAGTGTGTTCTGTTACATTTAGTTTTTGTCTTTAGATCCTGAAACAGGGCCAAATCTGGAGAAGTGGGAGGAGAACCTTTTGCTGTGCAGAACAAGCTCTGCTCAGCCACACCTGAGTTTAAGTGCATGTGACACCTTTTGGAAAGCCCCTAACACGAGGCGCTTCATAGGAACCATAGAAACCAAGTATCTGACAACAGGGCTGAAATTTGCTGCTGTATCCTCTCCCAAGCTCCTGACCCTCTAACCAAACAGTCAGACTCCTCTACCTCCAATGGTCACTGTCGTACCTAACCAATCTTGTGTTGATAGAGAAACATCATGTACACAACAATAGAAGCACCAAACAGTGTCTGGAGACTGCTGTGTGGGCAAAGGTAAGGAATGGCTGGGTCTACAGTCAGTGGGGAAGCCACACACACCCTGTCCCAAGCTTGCCCTTCTCATCACTTCTATTTGATCGTTCCCAAGTTGAATCATTTCTCCTAAGCCAATAAAGAGAAGTAAACAGACTTCTAAGTGTGTGGGCAATTCTAGAAATTTATTGAACCCTGGGGGTAAGTTATGGGAACCCCACTTACAGCTGGTTGTGGGAAGTGCAGGGGGTGGCCTTGCACGTGGCCTCAGACTCACTTGTAAGTTTCTCTGGCCAAACAGACCTTTATGGGCCGAGCTTAGTCTTCACCTAACATCCGATGGTTTGAAACTCCTTGAATCAGTTAATCAGTAACTGCGAGAGAAGAAGCTTACACCTCTATCACCTCTACTCTGGAAAGAAACACATTTAATTTTTTTTAAATAATCTGTGTTTTTAGTCTATTGTATCTTTAATAATGATCACTCTCAGAGAACAGAAAAGATTCGCTCTGTAATACACTCATGGGCTTCAAATGGGCAAAACCATCCGGTCCCCTCAATTAACTGCAAGGCTCCAGTGTCACAGAACCAGTCTTTGAATTAATGTCTGTTCAGCGGGCATTTGTATTGCACACTTGCTCTTCAGGTTCTCCTTCCTGCCCTTTCTTCTCTCTCAAGCCTCCTCCATGTGACCACCATGACACACACACACACACACTTCCCCCCCCCCCGCCCCCGCCATGCCCCGATTTTAAGGAAATGGAAGTCCATTAAGCTCAAAGCCTCTCATTTGGTACTTTAAATTTTTTTTTTTTCATTTTGTTCCAGAAGGTTTGTCTGAAAGTGTAATGACAACAAAAGCAGCAGATTTGAGAGATTCTCCCAGGAGAAGGGAAGGGACAGATGTACACAGACGTATAGCAGAGACTGCTGCCAGCGGCAGCTGGGAAAGTGACAGGCTCACAGGTGGGTGGCCACCCCAAGGCGCGGACATGAGCCTAAAGGAGCAGCCATTTCCCTTGATTTGCTCTTGACTTATCAGGCTCCCTTTCATCGGCAGAGAAAGGACCATCCTGGCTTGCGTCCCGATTTTTAGGCATGTTCAGTTATTCACTTGTGTTTTACCCTCCTTCCATCTCATTTTTAAAAATCTAAGAAAAGACTGGATACCACAGTACCCATCAGAGCAATGAACATGCATTATCATTAAAAAAAAAAAAAATCACTGTTAGAAGTCGTTGTTGTTGTTGTTTTGACCACAGTGTTTCTATAATATTACATAATGCCAAAAACTCCAAACAAACAGAACGTGGAAAAACACAGTGTGGCCAAAATTAGTTCCTGCTAAGGGTCTGTCATCAACATACCACTTACCTTCTCCTCTTCCTCCTCTTCGTCCTCCTCCTCCTCATCTCTGTCTGTGCTCTCCTGAAAGGAAACCCCGTAGCTTGTTAATTAACCAAATATCATCTGGGATTACCCAAATGCAAATGAAACAGACACGTTGAAGTTTTAAAACAGAATCCTTAGTATGTTTTGAAACTCATTACATCCTCTTGTAAAAGCTCACACTTTAAAAGTTCAGAGACACTGTGGCAAGGTTATAAATGATATGTGCAATTGAGTTGGAACCATTAGGTATAAGTAAAGCTATTGTGCAAGTGCCTTTGGACGGTATCCGCCTTCAAAACTGCATAGGCAGCTTATCTTTTCTGTAAACAGTTTTGTTCTTGTCTGGCAAATAAACCAACTGCTCTGTTAAGGCTGAAAATACTAAGCTCATAGTTATAAGGACCTCTCCCTTCTCTTTGCAGCCATTACTGAAACACTCTACAGTAGAAAATGCATTTATCTGAATAGAATCACAGTTAAAAAATGTTATAGTTCCCCCCTTGGGGTTGGGTTGCAGGGACAGAGAAAGGAAGGGAGCCAAAGGCTCTGATATTGACTAACAGGTGTGTGACTTTAGACCAGGTGCTGGACTGCAGCTGCGTTTCTACTGGGCTCATTCGAAGCAATTTAGATATCCTGTCTGTTTAATAGGAACCATTTTATACCACACACTTTCAGTGCCTAAAAATGAACATCAATCAGATATGATGGCACATGCCCGACTCCTAGTATTCAGCAGACAGAGATAGAGGAATCTCTGTGAGTTTAAAGCTGGACTCTGCATAGCCAGTGTCAGGACTGTGTGTGCATGTGTGTGTGGAGAGAGACAGAGAGAGAGAGAAAGAGAGAGAGAGAGAGAGAGAGAAAGGAAGAAAGAAAGAAAGAAAGAAAGAAAGAAAGAAAGAAAGAAAGAAAGAAAGAAAGAAAAAGAGAAAGAAAGAGAGAGAGAGAGAGAAAGAAAGAAAGAAAGAAAGAAAGAAAGAAGAAAGAAAGAAAGAAAGAAAGAAAGAAAGAAAGAAAGAAAGAAAGAAAAGAGTTGCACCATCAGTTGCTGCAATCAGATGGGTTCAGGAGCAGGGGGAGAAGAGTAAGTATTAGAAAACCAGGGACTTTTTAAACTTGAAGATTTACTTTTCTGCTCAAGATTTACTTTTCAGACCTCCTTTTTACTAATGCTCCACCACTTTCAAGTAATTTTTTTTTCATTAAAACTGTTAAAGAAGTGACCAGAGGGCTCTACTCTATTCCGCCAAATCTCTGACCAGTTAGCAAGTAACCTCTCTGAGGCTGGCGCCTCCTTACCTCTGATCATACTCATGAGCTTCAGCTGTCAGTCTGTAAGACCCTTACGGCCTGTGTAGGGGATTAGCCTTCTCAACACTGGCAACACTCATGCCTCATAAAAGCCAACTGACACATAGGAATGCAGCGAGGAAAGGTTAGCAGGGGAAACACATTACAGTTGGGGAAAGTTAGACGTCATCATTTTGAGACAGGATTTCTGCAGCTTGTCCCTGTAACTTTGGGCTCATCGCTCCGCTGTTTTACATCTATCTTTCTTTCACTAGGCACGATAAAATTAAAATGGAAGTTCCTGTCTCATTCACAATGGCCTTACCAAGACTGAATTAAGCAGTGAATTTTAATATGTTTTTTTTGAAATAAAAAGTTCCTAACAATGCAAATTTATATTCCTACCCGTAAAGAGATATTTATGCACATCTGTACACACATATGTATACACACAAATATATGCACTTCTGCAATAGGAAAGAGAAGATCTCATACACGTGGTGGCAAGAAAAAAAATCTGGCTAAGCATCGCACCAGTGTGATTGACAGCATTTACCATCACAGATGTTTCCCATTAGAGATGTTTCTCTAATTTATATTCATATAAAATCTAGTATATAAATACATATAAACTAAAAACCTATTTTTTGTTACTTGGTTATTCTATCTTTTTAAAATTATTTTTATTTAATTACAGTTCATTCACTTTGTATCCCCCTTTACCTCCCGTCCTTCTCCCCTCCCAATCCTACCCTCCCTCTTCCCCACCCATGTCCCTCTCCCAGTCCACTGATAAGGGAGATCCTCTTCCCCCTCCCTCTGATCCTAGTCTATCAGGTCTCAACAGAAGTGGGTGCATTGTCTTCTTCTGTGGCCTGGTAAGGCTGCTCCCCCATTAGGGGCAGGTGATCAAAGAGCAGGCCAATCAGTTCATGTCAGAGACAGTCCCTGTCCCCATTACTATGGAACCCACTTGGATACTGAACAGCCATGGGCTACCTCCGTGCAAGGGTTCCAGGCCATCTCCATGAGTGGTCCTTAGCTGGAAGATCAGTTTAAGAAAAGACCCCAGTGCCCAGATTTTTTGGATCTGTTGCTATCCTTGTGGAGCTCCTGTCCTCTCCAGGTCTTACTATCTCCCACTTCTTTCATAAGACTCCCCACACTCTGCCCAAAGTTTGGCTATGAGTCTCAGCATCTGCCTCGATACCATGCAGGGTAGAGCCTTTCAGAGGCCCTCTGTGGTAGGCTCCTGTCTTCTTCCCTGTTTTCTCCCTCCTCTGATGTCCATCCTTATTGCCTTTCTGAAAGGGGATTGAACATCTTAGCCAGAGTCCTCCTTCCTAAACTTCCTAAGCTTCCTTAGGTGTACAGATTTTAGTAAGTTTATCCTATATTATATGTCTAATATCCATTTATGAGTGAGTATATACCCTGTGTGCTTTCTGCTTCTGGGATACCTCACTTAGGATGATCTTTTCCAGTTCCCATCATTTACCTACAAATTTCATGATTTCCTTGTTTTTTATTGCTGAGTTATATTCCATTGTGTAGATGTACCACAATTTCTGTATCCATTCCTCAACTGAGGGACATATGGGTTGTTTCCGGCTTCTGGCTATTACAAATAAAGCTGCTCCAAACATGGTTGAGCAAATGTCCTTGTTGTATACTTGAGAGTCTTTTGGATATATGCCTAGGAGTGGTATAGCTGGACCTTGAGGAAGCACTATTCCTAATTGTCTGAGATAGTGCCAGATTGATTTCCAAAGTAGTTGTGTAAGTTTACATTCCCACCAGCAGTGGAGGAGGGTTCCCCTTTCTCCACATCTTCTCCAGCATGAATTGTCACTTGAGTTTTTGGTCTTAGCCATTCTGACAGGTGTAAGGTGAAATCTCAGGGTCATTTTAATTTGCATTTCCCTGATGACTAAGGACGTTGAACATTTCTTTAAGTGTTTCTCTGCTATTGGATATTCCTCTATTGAGAATTCTTTGTTTGGCTCTGTACCACATTTTTTTTAATTGGATTACTTGATTTGTTGCTGTAAACCCACACACTTATGGATACCTGGTTCTTGACAAAGATGCCAAAACCATACAATGGAAAAAAGACAACATCTTCAACAAATGGTACTGGTCTAACTGGTTGTCTACATGTAGAAAAATGCAAATAGATCCTTACTTATCATCCTGCACAAAAGTAAAGTCCAAGTGGACCAAAGACCTCAATATAAAACCAGACACATTAAACCTGTTAGAAGAAAAAGTGGGGAAGAGCCTTGAACTCATTGTTACAGGAGACAACTTCCTGAACAGAACACCAACACCACAGGCTCTAAGAGCAATAATCAATATATGGGACCTCATGAAAATGAAAAGCTTCTGTAAAGCAAAGGACAATGTGGTTAAAACAAAACGACAGCCTACAGATTGGGAAAGGTTCTTCACCAACCCTATGTCTCACAGAGGGCTAATATCCAGTATATATAAAGAACTCAAGAAGTTAAACAGCAACATATCAAGTAATCCAATTAAAAAATAGTTGTTCTATCTTAATGATATATGTCCATGACTATTTCATTAGATAATCAAAACCAAATGAAATCAGAAATGTCCTTCAATATCTATTCTCTCAAAAGTACTTTTAAAAACAAGAATATAAAAACTCATATGACAAGTTTGAATTAGAATCATGGAAAAACTCGCTGTAGACAATATTTTTACAACGAAATTTATCAGGCACAGATATTTTAGAGTTTTGATTTTAAAGCCTGTTTCTTAAATTAGAAATGTCAAATTGTGATCCTAATGCTAGTTACCAAATTCAAGTCTGGTTCATGTAGAACCGAAACATACCCCCTGAACTGGATAGATGAGGGGAGTCAGGAGGGCCAGAGAAGCATACACCAGGAATTTGCTTTAGAAGGGACAAGGTGCCTTTTCACATAGAGGGATTTTGAGGGCTAATTGGCATTTGGGAATAGAGAGTGGGCACTCTGGAAGTACCCTGGGAAATCCTCAAAAGGAAGAATGGGCTAACCCAGCTTTCCAGGGAGTTTTACAGTACTCTCAAAGATTATCCTCTGCTGTTTAAAGGGTGATTTCTAGGAACCCTATCACAAACCAGACGGATGGACAGATTTCTAGGGAGGGTTCTTCTCATGTTAAGAACATCAGCTGAGATGTGGGAATATAAGCCACGAAAAAAGAAACATTCCAGAATCTGTGTGAAAAAGCACACATGCTGGAAACTGGAAGCTGTGTACTTACACATCATTCTTCATGGCTCTAACACTGAACGGAGCATGATGTGGTACTGATCCACTGCCACTGTCCTATTTCTCCTCAGGACACTGGAGGAACTCTGTGACTCTTTGCTTACCTGGCTGTCCTGGGTACTGCTGCCTTTCCCTTTCACGGGTCTGAGGAAGTTGTACAGAAAGAGGAGCAGCAATGCCAGAGGGATCATGTAGAGTTCAAAATTCCAGACAGTGACCAAAAACATCTGCCAGGAAAACAAGGAAGAATCCGTGACTCTTGAATAAAACAGAGGATGGGAATTTCACATTGCTAATTCATTGACATTGCACGATTAACTTCAGGAATAGCTCAAAGGAGTGAAAGTGCAAATGGGTACAGCCATCATGAAAACCAGTGTGGCAGTTCCTAAAAGACCTAGGAAGAGATAAACTATATTGCTAAGCTATACCATTACTGACATATACCCAAAGGACTGTATTTCCTATTTTAGAGACATATGTTCAAACATGTTCATAGCTGCTCTATTCAAAATAGCTGGGACAGGAAAATAACCTAGGTGTCCCTTAACTAATGAATAGATAATAAAAATGTGCTGCCCACACACAATGGAGTTTTATTCAACTGTAAAGAAAAACGATATGTGCAGGTAAATTAATAAAACTGGAAAATATACTAAGTGACATCGCTAGACCCAGAAAATCAAATGTTACATGTCTTAACTCATGTATATCTTACTGTCAAATCTTTAGATTTGTATAGAGTACCTACTGTAGGGAACTGGAATGCAGCTCAGGGATATCTTAGGGAACAGTGAATATTGGAACACAAGTGATATGAAGGGAAAAGGGGACATCATGAAAAGGGAGGTTTAAGTAGGGAGAAGGATGGGAGGGGAGGGCAGAGAACCAGGTTAGGGAAAGGAATAACTAACACAGAAGATGACTGAAAGGTGAAACTAACTGTTTGAAAGTTTTAGGAAGGAAATAGATGATAGATGGATAGATAGATAGATAGATAGATAGATAGATAGATAGATAGATAGATAGATAGATAGATGATAGAGAGATAGAGAGATAGAGTTCCTCCCAGAAGTCAAAGGTTGATTTAAAAACAAAACAAAACATAAAGCTCAGTACCAGGTATGGGATACTTCTAAGCTATTCTCCAGAAATGTCACAGACACTCAAAATAGAGTACTGTCACTACTCTTGGTTGCTAAGCAGAACTGCATTGATGAAAACACTACTTTGTTCATAGGAAATGGAGAAATAGAGTTGGTATTAATCAGGGAGCATCTTCTCTGGTGGTTAGATTCCATAGCACTGGAAGGTAGTAAGTAGGCTGCTTGGAGAAAACAATCATCAACAGTTGTACCAAGTTTTTAACCCCATAAGCTACAAAAATGACTGGGTTGAAAAGTTATGCTCATCATCCAACAGTGGCACAAACATTATAGGAGTAATCAACTACCTTCTGTTTGGATTTAAGACACCCTCCACAGGGAAAAAAATGCTCTTTTAGTAATATAAATCTAGGCAGAAACCCTTTGCTGGAGAGACCACAGGCTCCAGGGACAAACCTACCACTACTATTCTGCTGAGTGGACAAGCCTCAAACTGCCCTTTAAATTCATACCTCAGCTATAGTTTAGTGTAGCTCTCAGACAGACCTCATCAGAAATGATTCTACGTTCAGGTGACATTGCTTAATACAAAAACTAACAGCTGGTCAGAATGCAGAGAATAAGTATCATTGGAATACTCATCCATAAAGAGAACATCTGTACCACAGCCTCTTTCCCCAGAGTTTAGGGACTGTTTCAGAAAACATGGAAAGTCTGACTATAGAAGCCAGAGATCAGGGAGAACTGGGGTGAAACAGTGTCTTCTGGACAAGAAAGGACGGCTGCACTGATTATTCACAAAGGAGAAAGCTAAGGGTAATTGATGGCTTCTGTGGGAAGGAGGCTCGGTTTTTTGGGTTTTTTTTGTTTTGTTTTGTTTTGTTTTTAAGGGTGAAGCCTCCGTTCCCTGGTAGGTTGACTACACTCCAGTACATAGACACACACTCATAAGTACCTGGGTATCACAAACTGAACTCAGTTGGTTCTGACAAAATCCTTGCCATCAGTAAAAATGATTTGAACCGGGGAGAATGGGTGCCAATATTTAAAACCACAGGTATTTAACATACATGCATGTTTCCCGCATCTCTTTAAGAATCATAAATCGAGAAAGCTGTAAAACTGTAAAGCTCTTAGAATAGAATTAGGTATTACTTCTGATATTGTGAAAATACGCATGCACCTGGACCCATCATTCTCGGCTTCAGTGACATGTGTCGTTTGCTGTGGAAGGGCAAGTGAGAACTCAAGGCCCTAAGCTACAACAATCCGTAAGACACACAGGCCAGCAACAGGGGCACGATCTCCAAGGACACAGAACAGGAGAACACAGGGCTGCCCTTTTGGGAAAACTACTGCAATACTTGGGACATAATGTTCACACGTATTCTGTGAGATGAACCACATGATTTGTAAATATCAGCTTCCAGTGTGTATATAAAAAAAACCCCTCAAGGTAGAATATTTCATCATCAATATAAAAACTTACTATCCAAAAGTAGTATTGTTTACTGCTCAGGACATTTTACTAAAATTTAAAAATGTTATAACCATTATAGATTGCTTAATTTTTTTTTTATTTTTGGTTGTTGTCAGTACTAAATAATTTCACTCCCATTTTTTCAAACTGGTTATAATTTTTATGAAAAATCCTCTAATTTGAATATATTAATTTTTAAAATTAATAACCTTGCTGAATATTTTGTTCTTGTTTCAAATAGCATTGTTTTTTTTTTAATTTGGGGATTTCTAAAATATATTCACATGAACTATGTGTAAGAAGTATTTTCTGTTTCTTCCTTCCTGTGTTTATAACTTGGTGTTTCTTGTTTAATTTCTTTACTCCTACAAAGCAATGAACATAAAGATACTGGGAGAGATATTATTGTCTAACTTCATACTTTAATGAAAATTGTTCTGGTTTTCTCTCTTTCTATCATTAAGCACGGCATTAGCTTTTAGTTTGCAATGTATAAATCATATAATATTAAGAATGTATACAAATCCATTCGGTTTTAATATAAGAAAATTCATAGAGGTACTCACTTTAGTACTGTTGGTATCTCACAAATGTTTTAAAAGCACTCCTTTGTATCTGCTTCAAATTTCATAAAGCATTTTTAAACAATAAGATTTCCATTCATTCTAAGAAGAGTCTATTTTGTGAGTGTTACTTCTTAAATCAGTAATGAATAGTGGCTAATCAGTTGTCTTCTGTTTGTTTTTCATTTTTGCCATCTTCTGAAAAATAATGTTATCCTTCTCATTTTGATATATTAATAGGATATATTTATTTAAACAGAGTTTTTAAACAATCTTCTACTTGTTTGGGAAACTCCTTCACAAGGTCTAATGATCTCTCTCTTTCTCTCTCTCTCTCTCTCTATATATATATATGTATATATGTGTATATATATGTATATATACATAACAATATATATATATATATTGTCCTGCTGAACACACTAACACAAAAATACCTTTGCATTGATTCCAATGATATAAATTATTTGATTTTTGTGTTATTTTCAAATTTTAGAAGTAGGGTCATTATGACATCACATAAGCTTTCTTCAACACCTTATGACACATGTTATAGTTTATATGGCCAAATATTTTAAGATGGTAAACATACATAGGCCCCCTCCCTCAAGTGCTGAGATTTCCTCTGTCACTTTTCAGTTACTTGCTATTTTTATTTTTCAAAAATAATATGCTGCAGGTAGTTCTTCCTGCTGTCAACAACCCTCTGCTGTCTCCTTCTCATCCCCAAAGCAATATTCTCTTAAAAATGGAGTGTCCTTCTCAAATGAACCCTTTAGTTACCCATTAAAAACACATATCCAGCTATTTGCTTAAAAACCTGTGAAATATGGCAATATTTTATTCAATAGAAGGTCTTACATTCTCTTTATTCATTAAACAAGAACATTCATTTTTACCTGATATAGTTCTCCAGTCAAATGACTGTTCTTAACCTTTGATTGAAACTATGGCTTTTTCTTGTAATATATGGTCAAACATGTAACCTCAAAGTTCGTGATTTGGCATTCAACGTTCTACTATAGGAGTCCTATTATACTCTGAAATGATAAATCTATTTTTAATGATGATTGCATGTGTATGATCTTTATTCTTTTTCATTTTTTATAGTTAGAAACAAGCATCCAACTTAAAACTTTCTCTATAGTCACTTTTAGCAACCAAATTTATACACTAATCTATACTTTTTTAGATCTACAGTATCACTTTCATCTCAAATATGCTGATGAAATTTCATCAGCCACTTCAGCAGAAAACATTTGCAAGAAAATTATTCCTCAAAACTGTAACTATATGTGTTTACAAATTTCTATGGAACATAATATCATACAGTCCAAAAGAAGGTTCTTCCATATTTGTGTATCTCATTTTCCATTTCAAAATTTTATTTGGAGGGATGATTACATAGATAGATAGATAGATAGATAGATAGATAGATAGATAGATAGATAGATAGATAGATAGATAGATAGATATAGATGATAGGTAGATAGATAAATATTATTATAAACAACAAATGTGCCCTAATAATGACATTTTTTTCTTTCAGAACTGCTTTGGGATATATGAGTGTTTTCTCATTATCGACCCAAGAACTATTGCAGTCACAGTGATGGCACAGGTAATAACACTTCAAAAATGGTCCAGAAAAATTAAAGTGTAAAGTACTATTTTAAAATACTTATGGCTCTTCAAGGCAAGGCTTGTAACATTATCTGTCATGGAGTTTATAATGCATTAAGTAGAAAACACAAAAACTCAACCATATAAGAGGATATGCAGATCAACTTAGGCAAGAAGCAGTGTTTATATGGATCAAATGGCATGTAATACCGATCCTAGGTTGACTATCAAAAGTTAAGGGATGATAACATGCACACAAATACAAATTTATTGCTAGCATGTATAACATGTTTGTTCTCTCCCACCCACCCCGTGTCCCTCTATCCTTTTTGTAGTCACCGCCATCACCAACAGTAACCACCTGCACAAGGGGCTGGGAATTAAAAGAGACAGAGAACACAAACAGGAAAACAAAGACAGTGCTCTGATCAAGGTGCCATCTTTATTACAGAGCA